GCAGTCGGTCATGGACAGAGCGCCAGACAGTATATGGAGAGAGGAGGGGACCCGGGGGCATACCTCATCCCAGCCGGGTGACTGCCGGCATCTCCTCTCTCCACCAAGATGGGCGCCGGCAGGTATCAAGATGATGACTGCGCATGCGCGATGACGTCATCGCGCACGTGGTGACGTCACGGCCGGGTGACACCCCGTAACCGCTCTGGGTGTCACCCAGCCTCGGAACGCCCGTGGTAGAAAGCACAATCTTTTTGGTAGCTGCACTGTGGATATAACCGCGTTATGTAAGCCTTAAGAAATAAACAAAACACCACTAGAAGGGGACCTGATGGAGAACTTCCCCCTCTTCAGGTCCCCCTCTGCTGATTGGCAGCAGCAAGGGGCGGGTACAATAGCTCGTTTGCTATTGCAAAGTGAAATAGCCAATAGGAATCTAGCTATGCATTCCTATGGTGTTTTTTTTTTTTTTCTCTGACTGCTGGCGGCTCCGATGCCAGAAAGAAAACAACAGAGCAGGGAAAGGTTTCCCATGGAGCAGGGAAAGGTTTCCCATGGAGCAGGGAAAGGTTTCCCATGGAGCAGAGAAAGGTTTCCCATGGAGCAGAGAAAGGTTTCCCATGGAGCAGAGAAAGGTTTCCCATGGAGCAGGGAAAGGTTTCCCATGGAGCAGGGAAAGGTTTCCCATGGAGCAGGGAAAGGTTTCCCATGGAGCAGAGAAAGGTTTCCCATGGAGCAGGGAAAGGTTTCCGATGGAGCAGGGAAAGGTTTCCAATGGAGCAGGGAAAGTCTTTCCGGGAGAAAGTGTCTCTCTCCTGGGCGGCCGGCAAATCGTCATTCGACCTCCGACAGGTTGAGAACCGCTGCTCTAGTGTATCAGTTCAATGGTGATCAGTGGGGATGCACCGATACCACTTTTTTTAAAGACTGAGTACGAGTACCGATACTTTTGATCAAGTACTCGCCGATACCAATTACCGATACTTTTTCTTAAAAGGGACAGGTCACATTTTTTCTAAAGCAATACAAACTAATGATTTAAGGTCACTTTCTTAATATTATGATTCATGAGATGACGAGGGAGCATGACACCGGCTTCCCGGCCAATCGGAATGCCGGGCGCTGCGTCATTACGCGGCGCCCGGATTTGCTAGCTTCCTGACCAATCGGGAAGCCGGGCGGCGCGTCATTGCACGCTACCCGGCTTCCCGATTGGCCGGGAAGTCGGCTCCATGCTCTCTCATCACAAGTGACGAGCGTGTAATGACGCGCTGCCCGGCTTCCTGATACAGGAAGTACTCGGGCTAGGCATCGGAGCATTTGGGCGAGTACGAGTACTCACCCAAATACTCGGTATCGGCACCGATACCGATACTAGTATCAGTGCATCCCTAGTGTTTAGGACTCCCTCATGCTGAGTGTCTCGGAGTGTTGGGGGCGGAGACTCACCGTGATATTTTCGATGACGCACGGTCTTTGTAGGTGTTGAAGGAGCAGCAGGGACACCAGATATCTCAGCACGGCCGTTTTGTCTTTGTCCTGCAGCTCACTTCCCGATATCGCTTTATTGATGAGATTTAGGAAGTACGGCTTAACCGTGACCAGGATCCTCTGACACCCCTCAGGGGTGCAGGCCCGATTCCTACAAAAAAAGAAGAAGACCCGCGATCAGTTCCCGCCATACACCCGACGACTGAGCGCCACCATCAGGAGCACCGCCCTTACTCTTTCTCACGCCTGATCCGGATGTCTTTTCTGTTGAGGGCGTGGCCGATGTCCGCCATCACCTGGAGGAAACGCTCGGCAGCTTGAGGCAGTGACGGGTCCTCTTTGAGGTAAGTGTCCTCGGACGCGATGTAAGTCATCAAGTTCCTAATGCTGATCAGGTAGGAGCGGGCGGTGGAGATGGCGGAGACGACGTCCAGGCGCTGGAAGAACTCCACCATCTTCGCTGTGTTGTAAATAAACTTCGAGGACACGTCCTGGGGGTCCATGTAATGGAGGAAGAGCGCCACGGTGCTCACCTGAGGAGAAGAATGGGGTGCTCATTAATGAGGACAGGTCACCGGAATGGCCTGAGGTCTCCTGCAGCTGATCTTCTCCCCGATACTGGCTCACCATGCCTTGTTCTACACTGTGTCTCTGTGTGGAGGCGGCCATCTTGGTAGAGGCGGGGCTTTACTTCCTCACATGAGAGCCTCCAGTGAGAAGCACAGCAATGAAATGACCAAATCCCTCTCTGAATCTCCTGAGATGAGCAGTGCCTTAGATGTCACACTTCAGATATACAGCTATGAGGATACAGGCACAGGGAGCGAACCCGACAGCAAGGGGTGCCCAGGCGCAGGGAGCGAACACGACAGCAGGGGGTGCCCAGGCGCAGGGAGCGAACACGACAGCAGGGGGTGCCAAGGCGCAGGGAGAGGCCATCTTTACCACTTGGGCATAAGGGGCAGCTGCCCTGGGCCCCATAATTTACAGGGGGCCCACAGCAGGTAATCAGTGTGGGGCCCGACCACTCCTCCTCCTCTAGTATCGGTTCCCGGGTTGTCACTTCAGGGGCCGGGAACCCTCAGTGTCTGCGTGAGGTGCCTGTGTGCCTCCTGCTGCTTTGATCCCCCCTCCCCCCCCCCATGCCTGTCACATAGACATTAGGGAGATCGGGGGAGGGGGAGGGCACAGCTGATCAGGTAGAAGCAGAAACGTTATTTAATGATTGATTAATGCCGATATATTTTTTTGGACTAATAGATTATCACAAACAAAGCAAGTTATTCAAAAGGTTCATTTCATAATGGATGCTGAGCGTCTACATACATACCCTGGAAAGCAGGGGGTGCCCAGGTGCAGGGAGCGACCAGACAGCAGGGGGTGCCCAGGCGCAGGCGTATGTGATCAGGTCGGTGTACTGTGTAGCTGTTGGGGGATGTGTGAGGTGATCAGGTACAATGATCATATCTAGATGTTCCTACACCAGCCAATCGGCTCTCTCGGGGGAAGTCTGAGCCCAGGGACGGATGCGATTGGTTCTACCCTTTGTTTGATGATGGCCTTTGTGTGTGACCCCTCGAGGTGCCTCCTGAACCCCAGAAGCAGCGGACAATCCTCCGGGTGCTTCATACTCAGGCGGGTCTGCATCATGCTGAGGATCCGATGTTCTGGGCCATGAGCGGCGAGGACGATGACGGTCTCCTACGAGGAAGAACACGGCGGGAGATAGTTATGGGTGGAGTCAGCCGGGTGTCTCGGCTATATAAACACAGACGACAGAGACTCTGCGAAAGATAACGATTCGGGAACGATCGCTGCCCATCGCAGATCCGTGTAGAAGATCGGTCACAGATGGAGCACCTCTATGTAAACAGTGCGGGGGATTTGCCCCCTGCTCCCCAAATACGCACCCCCC